CCTTACCACTAAAAATACACTGGTTTTCAGTGGTGAAGAGATCAAAACACTGAAGTAAACAAAGCCTTACCAAAGAGGCAACAAAAGGGGCCAAACAAGGCCTAACAAGGTGAGTTTGCACTCAAACTATAAGACAACCTTAATGAAAGTTCTAAAACATGAAAATATAAGCCTTTTTCATGTTATGCATAAAAGCTAAATCAGCAAGCAAGATAGGTAAATAACTATTGCAAGTTTGGGAAAAATAAAGCAAGATGCTCACCCTTGAAGCACCTTTGAAGAACAAATGGTCTAGCCCTCTTCTTTTGATCAAAATCAGTCCAAAAACTCAAGAAACAACCCCCCAAGTCCTTCAATCTCGGAGCAAGGTGTAATAGTGTGTGTAATGGTGCAAAAGTAAGGTAAAAACACACTTTTGAGCCAAGAAACACACACAAAGGAGGAGAGAGAGGGAGATATAGAGATAGTATGTATCTATATCTCTAGGCTCTGGTTTTTTGCTTCTAAGTTTCTAACCTAGATCAAAGAGGAGAGCCTCCCTCTTATAGGACTCCCTCTTGCAAAGCTTATACAACAAGCTTAGTTAGAGGGAGATCCCTCCATACACGTGTATGGTGGGGGGCAGAGTTGGTGCCAGCTATCACAGCTGGCACAAAATATCTCCATAAAGTAGATGAATAGTGGTCGGCTGCCCAAAAATGTCATTTCGACAAAAAAGAGTGCCGACCGGCAACAAACTATGCCGACCGGCAACAAATAGTGCCGATGGCATCAAAAACCAGCCGGTGGCCTCTAGCCACTGCCGGTGGTGTGTGGAGATGCCTCACAAGCCATTCCCTCCCCCTCCAAGGCAAAACACAAGTGTTTGGTGTGAAACCAGACACTAAACGGTCAAATTCGGAGATCCTGAGGCAGGGCGCGCGAGCCGAGACCTCCGGGAACTCCAAACGAACACAAACATAGATAATCTAATTAAATCAAAGTTTCTTTTACATCATAAAACTTGAAAAGAAAAGCCAAAGCAATAAACTAGGGGTCTAGATGAGTCAGGTATCTCTGCATCCTCTGCTCGTGCTCGTGAAAGTCTTTGCAGCTAAAGTTAACCAAAACTATGCCTCATCCTCGAGCCAAGTCAAGCATTCGCCGAAAACAGCGTAACTTAAGCTAGGGGTAGGGGCCAAAAGCTCTCTCGCTCTCCAAGCAGCGAGATACTAAGTCAGGTTTGAACCACAAATGGGAAATGGAGCCAGGTACTTGACCCCTCCTCTAAACGTGTGTAATCATGTCCAAATTGGCGTCGGAACCGGAATGGAAAATAGAACACGCAATGAGTGAGGCCAATCAACTGTATACCTGGCTGTCGGGACATGCTGTAGCTTATCTTAGCCAAATAAAGCCAGGGGCATCGCCAAGCTATGTCAGCTGCAAATCTGCTGCACATCCAATTGCACCACCAACCCTTCGAGGGAAATTCCATCAGCCGTTGGCAGAAGAAGTAAGCTTGGACTGAATACTCGGGGCAAGGGTCCACCATTTTCAGCTTATCCATTAGCCATACCTAGGAAAGGATGAAAAATAAGAAAGATTAAAGATTAAAAAGATGTACATTAAGGGAAATGTAAGGAAAGGGCCTTGAGAGAAAAATAGAGAGTGAATGCCAAGTGATGTGAGAAGCATCAATAAGAAAGTGTGGGAAACAATACCTGGAGAAGCAGCAGACTCCCTGTGAATTGAGTCATCTATCGCCAATGGAAAGCATCCAAACCTAGCAGGGTCTCGGCCAGTTCCAAACCAATGTAGCTCTTAGCCTCTTTCAAGCATTGGGCCATTTCAATCAACCTAATGCTGGCTCTGCCGTAACTGGGGGCAAGAAGGAAGTGTGTGAGCATACATAAACAAAGGGCATATTGGCGATAACCTCACCAGAGAAGGTCACCTCTGTCCCTGATGTTAGAAAACCAATGAATCAAGCCTAGTCTATCTAGCTCCCCATCATGAGCCAAAGAATGAGCTTCGTGCAAAGTCAGTCCACACATCCGTCCCAAAGCTTGGGCATTGACAAAACGGGGTTGGGGCATGATCTCCTCCTCGCGTTGGGATTCCATCAATGCTTGAAACTCTTCAAGAGTTGGACACATTTCCTGTGCTCCAAAGCAAAATACATGTGTAATTTGGTCCGAACATCGGACCGCGACATGGAGGAACGGAAAACAAAGTGAAGTATGGCTCAGCGAAAAAAGCGCGTTTATGCCGAAACCTCAGAAATTTATGTTTTTCGTGCCATCCAAAGTGGCTATTCAATCTTTGAGCTTCTCGATAGAAATATCTCCATTTTTAGAGGAAACAACAGTAAAAATGAGGTTTTGTCGAAGAAAGAGCAAAAAAAGACCTTTTGTAGGGGATAAGGTTGTGTGAGTGGATGCCAGCTATCAGTTCGCTGATGAGCCACCTCACTTGGCCGGCCGGTCAGTCGGCCACCTCTTCTGGCCGGCTATCCCCTTTAGTGGCCTGCCGGCCCTTTTTGTTGGCTTGGCAGTTCGGCAGTCTGGTTTTGTTCCGGTCTTTGTGCTTTGAGGTCTTGTTTTGAGTCTTTTGTTTTTAGCAAGTGTAAATAGCTGTGTTCAAGTCGTTTTTATTTTGTTTTCCGCTTATCATGATTTATTTTGCATTTTGGTTATTGGTCGGCTCATTATCCGATTAAGAATGTCATTCCAATACAAGCATTTTCGATTTCAAATACAATTCCATTTTCATTCTATGCAAGTGTGGTGCTCATGATGTAAAATAAAGCTCTTTTTATAAAACTATAGGGTTTTACCGCAATCATAGTTTTTACAACAGAGAGAATACAAGTGTTTCAAAAAACAAAAAGTAAAAACCTATCTGAAGCTATACAAATGCTGAGCTACCAAAATAAAAGAAACTAAGTAAAAGAGTACAAAAATCTACGCCGGTCGCATCAAGCTTGAGAAGCCCTCTTCGTCCTCTTCCTCGGAGGGGACTCAGGGACACTGTCTTCCTCGGCGCCGTTATCATCAGAAGAGTGGGACTCTGAGCTAGAACTAGCATCGCCATCCCCACTCCCTGACTCAGAGCTACTCTTAGTACCCTTCTCACTGCTTGACCCTGAGCTAGAACCATGGTTCTCGCTCTCAAACTTAGGGCGTCGGCTCATTGCCTCCTCAGTGCCGCTGGTCTCAGTATTATCTCCACTTAAAACTGGCTCAAAGGAGGAGGAGGTCTCATCTGTAGACTCGCTGCTCCGGCCGTGAGCACCCGCTGCCTCTGTAACAATACGACGCTCTTCTCGCCAACATGTTAGGGCTTGTACTACGCCTTCCCCTTGCTACTGGAGGAGGTTTCGCCGGTGCTGCTAGTACCGTTGGTGCCATTGGTTTAGGTGGGATCTGAAAAACAAGTACCAGAGTATCAAATGCAGTATGAGTATGATACAGAAGACTGATTCTGCATGAGTGTAGTGTGTTAGTGTAGTGTGTCAATGCAGTGTGACGCAAATTAGAATGCATGTCAGTATGCAGTGTATCAGTGTGAGTATCGCATACAATATGAGTATCGTGTATTAGTAGGAGTATGGCATGTCGGTGCAGTGTGGTGCACAATGGTTTGAGTAAGCAATGAAATGCACGGAAAGAAGGGAATACCTGAATATTGTGGAGAGCAAGTGACATCTGTCTCCTCTACACCATGTGACCAGTTGGAGAAAACCATCCGTATACTCCGTAGGTGCCTGCAAGTGAATTTGAACAATCAGTATCCAAAAAGGGGAAATGCGGGATGTAAGTTATAAAGCACTGTCCATACCTGTGGTGCGTCCAAAGCTCTAACAAACCCATGCTCTACCTTCGGTGGCTCTATCGAAATTTGATAAATTGTCCCACTTGGCGACCAATAGGGAATTATTATAGAAATCACGGGCCAACCAGCTACATGCACAGTGGAAAGGGCCTCTCCAATATCAGCCTCGGCCTCACGAGCAGCCTCTCTAGCCAAGGGGGCACCTGCAGCGTCGCTTGCGTGAACTTCGGTCAGGGGTGGAATGAGGTGAGTCCGGATGAAGGTCGTGGAATTTCCATTCCCTCTGAAGAAGTCGACATCTAGCCCAACCATAAACTAAATGATAGCTTCAACTAGGAGGCTATCAGATGTCGTCATGGATGCCGGGGGCAGAGTAAGAACAACTTGTGCAGGCAGGCCCATGGTCTGGCGTATGAACCGCTTACCCAAAAACAAGCCCGGTAGAATGGGCCCTCTAACAAGATCTGATACTGGGAGGTGAACCAAGATCTAGTGTACTGGTCCTGTACTCCAGTCGGCAACATCACCCACGGCTGCAATGTGATCTGCAAATGAAGAATTTATAAGTTGTTAGTTGTTGTCAATTGTCAAAGTATGGATCAGAACAGTAGTAATGGAAATAAAGTAGAAATGACTGTGAGTTTCGGGTTACCTCGCGAGCCCCCCCCCATGACAAAATATCGGTGGAAGTAAGCGAAGGTCATGTCGTTGTGACGCTTGCAATGGTACCTACCATCATACTGTTGTGAGTAGGGCACAGCTGGTGTTATCTCCTCCACTGGCACTGGGGCAAGGGTCCGGAAATAGGCATAGGCCCAAAGCTGTAGGGCACAAATAAATTGTGAATCAATATGTACAAACAAATTATTAAACAAAAAAGGCAAAGCAAACGGCACGGTGTGTGACTAATGATAAAGACAGAACGTGCAAAGTAAAAAGCACAATGCATGGGCAGATATAAAGGCAGAAAATGAAAAAAGTAGAAAGCATAAGAAGCAAACAGTAATGGAAAGTATAGCGTGTACCTTCCAAGCTCTCCAATAGCCTCTAACCTGGTTCCCCTTCATGCTGGAACCAGAGCTCATGTATCCATAGAGGGTGGCAAGGCCAGCGACACCCCAATTATAGAATCACACCCGGGGTAGTGTCACATGGGCACTCAGTAGATACAGCCCTACAGTGTTCTACTTGTTCACAAACAAGATGGTACCAAGAAGATAGATCAGAAAGTGCCAGGTGTACTGCTTTATCTTCTGATGTGTCCCCGACTGGCTCCCGTGGAAGTGCTTGTAAAACCAGCTGTATCGCACCATCGTCGGTCTGTCTAGCACAGGGCACGCCTCGACCAAATATATCTGTGCTGCCTTCCATCGGCCGATATCCATGTCAAAAGGGATCGGATCACCCCCTACTCTCAAGCCAGTGATCATAAAAAAATCATAGGGGGTCATTGTCATCTCCCCGGTGGAAGTGAAGTTGAAGGAGTTGGTGGTGTCCCAACACCTCTCCATCAATGCTCTGAGTAAGGCCCGGCTGGCCAAGTGTCGTGATAGCTCAGTGCAGAATAAGCCAAAGCCCGCCTCGTCGACCAACTCACGGACCCAAGCTGGAAGCTCATGATACCATTCTTTGGCCATCACCGCCCTGTATCCTCTCCAGGAGCGAGAGTCACCCTGTGATAAGGCAAGAAAGCATCAGTTGTGTAATAGTAATAAAAGTCAGTAATGAAGGGCAGTAATGAAATGGCAAAGCAAGTAAAGCGCATAAAAGCAAAGAAAGCAAGGTTTGTATCTAAGTAGCGCCATGAGAAAGATGGGAGGTCCGCTCCCTCAACAAAACATCCTCAGGCACCCCATCGACAAAACCCTCAAAATGCAGCATGCCTCCAGGTGCCATCGCATATATCCATGGGTGATAAGTGGCCGGGTAAAATGGCCTCAAGCTCAGTGGCAGTACCTCAGGCTTGGGCCCTGGAGGAAAGACCATCTTTGCCTTGAAATCAGCGGCAATATCATCTCCCACCCCGTCGGCCACAGCAGCAATAGGTGGAACCTCGAGAGGAGCACCGTCATGTGGGACATCATCTTCCATCTGGAAAATGTATGAAAAGTGGGTGAAAAATGGAGAAAGTGAGGAAAAAAGAGGGAAAACCCAAAAAGTTGACCCTAGGAGAGAGAAAATGTGAGAAAAAGTTAAAACCAAGGAAAATTTGTGAAACCCAAGAAAAACCTGAGGGAACTAAGTCCAAAGTGATGAAAACCTGAAAAAATCAACGAAAACAAAATCTGATTGATGCAAAATGTAGAGGGCCAAAGAGGTTTTACGAGTAAAGTTTGCATGGGGCGTTGGAAAAAGCATATAAAGCATTGATCTAGAGAGAGGAAACACCTAGAGAGAGAGGGAGAGGGTTTTGGCTCGTGTGGTGTATGAAAATGAAGGTTGGGTGGTGTATTTAAAGAGACCTAAGCCGAAAAGACGTTTTTGCCCCCAAAATGCCCACGGGTGGCCGGCCGTACACTTTGTGGCCGACCGTTCCCTATTTGTGGCTGACCGTCTCCTTTTGTGGCCCAAGGTTGGGTTCTGGTATGCTCTTGCGTAATCAGTGTATGGAAAGGTCCTGTTTCATCTGGGGAAGAAAAAATTGTGGTATTTAAGGCTGGTACGGTTTTTGAGGATCTCAAAATTGTGTTCTGCTTATACTGTTCCACTTCTCACTATGTCTCTGGTGCATGAATGTGTCCTGTTTTCAAGTAAGAGCGAGTTATATCCTTTTTGAGCATTTTGAGGATCCTCCGAGTGGTAAGTCGGAGATTGTTGTGAGGTGTCTTCAAACAATGATTTCTGTCTGTCATTTCGATTCACGTGTCTATTATCTTGCATAGAACATGCATTACACCTAATTTTTGTTATCTATTGTGTGGTATGGAGCATGCATTGTCATCACACGTGTGCATCGTGCCGCATGCGTGTGCATCGTGCTTTTCTGTTTTTGTATCCACCCTTGTCACATGAGTGTGATTTGGGTTTTCTTTCTTAAACCTTGCTACGCGGTAGTGTGGCTTGGTTTGGTTTGTTCTGGTCCTCTCTACGTGTTAGTGTAGCTAGGATCACTTCGCTACGCAGAAGTGTAGCGTGTTTGGTTTGTTCTTGTCCTCTCTACACGGTAGTGTAGTTAGGATCACCTTGCTACGTAGAAGTGTAGCTTGTTTGGTTTGTTCTTGTCCTCGTTACACAAAAGTGTAGTTAAGATCACTTCGTTACGCGAAAGTGTAGCTTGTTTGGTTTGTTCTTGTCCTCTCTACGCAGAAGTGTAGTTAGGATCACCTCGTTACAGGGAAGTGTAGCATGTTTGGTTTGTTCTTGTCCTGTCTACCTGGAAGTGTAGTTAGGATCACGTCACAACGCGGAAGTGTAGCTTGTTTGGTTTTTTTTGTCCTCTCTACGTGGAAGTGTAGTTAGGATCACCTCGCTATGCGGAAGGGTAGCTTGGCTTGGTTTTTTCTTGTCCTCTCTACACGGTAGTTTTGTTAGGATCAGCTTTCTATGCGGTAGTGTGGCTTGGTTTGTTCTTGTCCTCTTTACGCGGAAGTGTAGTTATGAATACCTCTCTATGCGGTAGTGTAGTTTGGGTTGTTTTTATTCCTCTCTACGCAGAAGTGTAGCTAGGATTACCTCTCTGCATGGTAGGGCAGTTTGGGTTGCTTTGTTCTCCTCTATGCATAAGTGAAATTGGGATTGTTCCCCGTCTCTCTACGCGAAAGTGTAGTTTGGCTTGTCTTTTGTTACTCTTTTTGGGCGGAAGTGTGGTTTGAATTGTTTCTGATACATGGGAGCATAGTTTTCTTGTTTATTGATTTTAATTGTTGCATTGCATTGAATCTCATATCCGGGCAGTTTGCTCGTGTGTACTCTCTACCAATGTCATGTATGTCTTGATTGTTTGCCCAAGTCTTACGGCCACGTCAAAATGGGTCATCTCTGGGCTTTGACATTCACTCATGTCATTTCATGACTTTGAGCTTTGTCAAAGAGGGGCAACTATAGACACCCTATTTTTGACTGCCCTTAAGATTTCTGCGCTTTCGATGACTCACTGAACGATGAATTTATAAGTTGGACAAACGCTCGATTTCCTTAGTAGGAAGCCTCGATTTTGAGTCTCAGAAGCCTAAAAACCTTGCACCACTTTTGGACCAAAACAATATTTTTCGAAGCCTGACCACTCAGAGTCTTGCAGGCCAACTAGTGGTTGGCTGGCCTGAAGTGAATAGCCGACAGTCTCCCTAGCGGCCGGCCGGCCAGTTATTTCGGCAAAATAGATATTTTGTTGCCAACTGTGCCAGCTGTTCCCACAGCTGCATACACTGCACCAACTACCTCTATACTGATATTTCCGAGATAGTAACATATTTTTCTATATATACTAGACCTCCCCTCTTAAAATTAGCTTAGAAAAATTTGGTGAAACAAAATTCTTGAAAAGTATTTATCTCTCTACCTTACAACCTATATACACCTTACATAGACTCTCTAAACCAAATTTTTAGGTTTCTTTGCTAAGGTTATTGAGCTTGAATTTTAACTCTTGAGGATGGGAAATTGTTGGTTTCTAACTCAAAGTGTTACTCCACTTCAAGAGGTATAACTTCAAACTTCCTTCCACTACTTTTTCCTTATCATTACTTGCTATTTTTTAGACTATTTTTCAACAGTTTTCATGGGTTGAAGCTTGTGGTTTAAGGCTCTTAAAGGTAGAGGGGTTAATCACCTTTCTTTGAACCTTGTCTCCTAAGCATTTGCACTTGTGTTTCCTATCTCTTCCTCAAACTTTTTCCAACTTTTAACCAATGATTTTAAGAGGTTTTCAGCAGCTAAAAATATGGTCTTGAAGTCCCAAAAATGGAGGGGTTAGTCACCCCTCCTTATGCTTGTTTACTAGCTTCATTTCCTCATTATTTTAGTTAACTTATTGAAGCTTTTCCATGTTATCTCCAGCATTGCTTTTAGCTATTTTAGGATAGTTTTAGGTTGTTTATTTCATTTATGCTTTGTATAGCATGCTTGTAGTGTGGTTGTCCTCATAGGTTTGGTGGTTTAAGCCTTAGCCATCAACTTATTTGAGTTGATAGCATTTATTTCATGCTTTTCATACTCGTGTTCACATGTTATCACTTCTGCACTCTCCCTCCTTTCATGGCTTTTATTTCTTTGAGAGTTGTTTCAGTCGGGTGTTATTTAAGCTTGAGAAAGAGACCTTTCAATGCTAAATGGTTTAATCTCTTCGGAGGTTCATTACCAGGGCACTACCTCTCTCTCATGCCCAAAACAAATTCTTGTTTGACATTTCTCTCCATTAGTGGACTTAATGCTTATTTTTGGAGTAAAATAACTAATAAATGAAAAGGTAAATAAAAGAGGCAATAAAATTGGGCTAAAACAGAACAAGATAATAAAATCAACTTGGGTTCAATCGGATGTTAGTTGAACCCATTGAGTCTTGAGTCATTTCATACTTGTTAGTGATGATATTGATTTAAGATTCAATGTCAATCACTTCCCTTGATCAATATCATGACAGAGAGGGGGTTTTGTTGGTCTTTTAGCTTCATTTATTGAGCTTTTGTCCATTGATCCATAAATCATCACACAATGAATTTGTGTCGATTGATGGTTTACGAATCAAGCCTACCCCTCGTTTGATCTGTTTGATGATAAGGAGACGCAGGGTGGAGAAACATCCCCTAAAAATTCTCTGTTTGTGCTCTGTTTCTTGTCTGTTGCAACAGGGCCGTAACAAAAACTAGTGACCGACCAACCACCTTGCTGTACGACCCAACACTTCTTCTGGCCGACCAACCACCTCTTTTTTAGCCAGGCAGTGTCTTTTTCCTTCTAAAACAGAGTAGAGGCTGAGGCAAAAATAGTTCAATTTTTTGACTGCAAAGTAGAAACATTCTGGCAACAAAACAGAGGGCATTTTCGGGTGGAAATCCGCATTCATACGTGAACAATTCTTCATTCCTTGTGGCTCGTTAATTTGTGTTAATAGTAGTATGTTGTGTAATTCCTTCGAACTTGTAATAGCTTAGTTAATTAATTGTTTGCGTTGTAATTAATTAATTAGCTAAAATAGTTAGTTAATTTGTGGCGTTGTAATAATTAGCTAGTGTAGTTGATTCATTTATTTTGGTATTGTAATAGTCAGTTAATTCGGTAATTAGCTAGGAAATTCATTCGGACCATCTTGTATGAAGACAAACTTGTAATAATGTATATGTCTTCCATCCCCCATTTCTTTCTCCCTTTTATTTACTTACTTATGATGGATAGCATAGAACATCACGTTTACTTAGCATTTTCCATGTACAAAGTATTCATTCATCTCTCATGCATAAGGTTCGGTTCATCATTCTAAACGACCTTGTCATTTATATTTCCTTGAATATGTGCCCCACTGCATGCTATCAAAGCGATTTACATGATATATTAGACAACCGAACCTATTAGTTACATTTGTTCATGTGTTGCATTAGTCATTTTGCATCACTAGGATCATGCATTTTTTTCTAACTCTTTTATTTCTTTTGGCTTGCTTCGGTTGAGTACTAGGTGAGCGTTTATCGTTTTAGCATATTGCATGCATGTGATTGTTGCCATATCAAGCATAATACCAAGAGGCTAAGTGCTTAAGTGATATTCTTGTTTGGATGCCTGTGGATGAAGGCTAATTGCTTAAATTGGGATGGTTTGATTAATATATTTATGAGATCACTGTTTCAAGTGGTACATATTCAAAGCAATTTTCAAACAAACATAAAATCAAAATGTTCTAATATTTGCAAATAAGTCTATACTCTTGTGGAACATAATGTAAAAATAGCCTAATAAATCGGAAGAAGAGCATATAATCTAAATAAAAATCACATTATGATTAGTAGAGGCCGATCTTTGATCGGGCAAGTGGGATGCTCAATTCATGGCCTTCCCCTCTTGTACATAAGTTCTTGAGCCGAGACACTTTGGTGATAACGAACACGTGGCCTTTGGTATGAGTAAAAAGTTTTCTAAATTTCCCAAAAACGTTTAGGTGG